ATGGTAATGCTCTGAGATCATCATTTGTGGCCTTTTTGTGCTGGGTTCATTTGTTCTATTCCATTGTTTATCTCTGATACTTCTTTGTTGAGTTTTTACGGGGGCCTATTGGTGAAATTATTAAGGCCACTCCACGTAGTTAAAAGGGAGACTTGCGGGGTTGGTGGGAGCTCCAGCTACAGGGGCCCAGGATGATCTGCCCATCGATGACAGTGGGATGTTGCTATCCACAGCTATCACTGTGCTGTAGCCTATTTCTCCCTTTAGATATAACAATATTTTCCTCGTAACATTGAGTATTTTATTTTATTTTGAGATAATATTACTCTATGCAGCCCTGACTGTCCTGGAACTTGTTATGTAGACCAGGCTGGCTTAGAACTTACAGAAATCTGCTTGTTTCTGCCTCCTAGGTGCTGGGATTAAACATGTGTGCTACTACACCTCGCCTTAAAAATGAGGTGTTCTAGCATTAGTTAGATATACATTTTATCTCCCATTGAGTAGATTCCTTTCATTAGCACATAGTTACCACCTGTCCATGTCTTTCTACCATTTTTGGTTTACAGTCTGCTTGCTATCCTTGCTTGCTTGATGGGGAGTGACTTTTCCACTCTGTCAGTTTCTGTGTCTGTATATATTCAATGGTGAAGACTTAGGTACCACTTGTAAGCAGCATTCTGGGTCTTGCTTTTTAGTCCATTCACCCAATATTCATCCAAGGTTATTAGTGTTATGTATAGAACTATTTGTGTCATTTTGTTCATTTCTGGTTGTAAATAGCCACAATCTAGTCAAGTTCAGGGCTTTCTCTTTGTTGCTCTCTGTATGGGTGAGATTCCATTCTCTTTATCTTTTATGTAACTGTTCTTCTAGAAGGTTTTAGTCTTTTGTATCTCATTACAAGGATATCTATTGTTCTTTTGTTTTTTCATCCTCAGGTGTAGCTTCCCTTGAGCATATTTTTTAAGGTTGTTCTAGGGATGATGGATTCCCTAATTTTTATCTTGGACTGTCGTCTGGGACATTGTTGTAGCTCTCCTTTGCTCTTCCATAGCATCTCTTAATATACTAGTCTACATTAACAATCTTTTTTCCTCTCCATAACTTTTAATATGGTGTCATATTCTCTTGTAGTCCATTAGTTTTCTGTTGAAAAAAATCTCCCAAGAGTTTAATGGGGGTGATGTTAAGTGTGAATGAATGAATGATTTTTTTGGAAGTTTGCCTATGAAATACAGTGATGAGGACATGTTGAGTCCAATCTATTTGGGGTCTTTTGGGCTTCCTGGGCCTCCTCTATACCTGTCTCTCTAAGCTTAAGAAAGTTACCAGATTTTCTTTGTCAGTATGGAAGTTTCATTTTCTGTTCTCTTCATTCAGATAAGTTTTCATGTAGCCCAGCATGACCTTGAACTCATCATGTAACCAAGGGTGACCTTGATCTTTAGATCCTTCTGTTTCTGCCTTCTGGTTCTGGAATTCCAGACATGTTCCACCATGTTCTATTTTATGGAGTGCTGGAGATCAAACCCAGGGCTCTGTCTATGTTAGGGATGTACTCTACCAACTGAACTGCATTCCCCATCCCTAGTATGGAGCTTACCAAAACCTGAAAACTACCATATTCCTGAGCTACATCACTCCTGGCTATTCACCCAGAGGACTCCGAGCCCCACCACAGAGATACTTGCCCATCCATGGTCATTGCTGCACCATTCACAGTAGCTGAGTAATGAAACTAGCCTCGATGTCTATCGTAGATGAATGGGTAAAGAAAATGGGGTACTTACACTCAATGGGATCTTAGTCAGCCATAAAGAAAAATGAAATCGTGACATGTTCAGGAAAATGAATGGAACTGGGACTCATTCGTTATGTGAATAGGTTTTCTGTGCTTTCTCCTTTCCTTACCTCCTGGAAAGGTCAGACTTTGAACATTTGTTCATTTACACATGTCTCATAAGTCTTGGAAACTTTCTTTGTTCTTTCTAATGATTTTTCCCTTTTATTTCTTCAGTGTAGCTGTGGTACTTCAAAAGGTCTGTCTTTAAGTTCAGACATTTTTCTGCTTGATCTATCTTGTCGTTGAGGCTCTTGTTCACATCTTTTATTTGACTCACTTCATTCTTCACACCCAAAGTTTATAGTTGGTTCCTTTTGATGATTTCTCTCTTGGTTGAATTTCTTATTCATTTCATTAATTGGTTTCCTTGTTTCACAGAATTATTAAATTCTCTTGTATGTCATTGAATGCCCTTCAAATTGTTCTTTTGAATTCTTGCTCAGATGTTTTTGTCTATTTTCCTATCTCTGGAGTTTGTTGGAGAGTAATTTTACTCTTTTAGCTCTATCATGTTACCTGGCTTTTTCAGACTTCATGTTTCCTTATGCTGATATTTGCATGTCTCATGGATCAGTTGTCTCCACTACTGAGTGACTTTCATATTTGAAGAATTTCTTTTGACTTTGTCTGATTAGTAGGCTGTATTGGTTTTGGTTCAAGTTGGCCACTGCAGTTATGGTCTCCAAATAACTTCAACTGTAATCAATGGCTGCGAGAGCAGTTCCTGGGAAGCAGGATCATAAAGACTGTTGCTCTTTGCAGGGTTGTCAGGTGGGGCTATTCTAGCAGCCTACGAGGGTATGGTACACAGGGATGAGTGCTTACCTAGTGGGCTCAGGCAAGTGTAATGCAGCACACATGCAAAATATGAGAACTGTATGTCAATTTCTGTGGACCATATTCCAATGAAGCCAGGTTAGAGGGTCCCTAGGCATGTGTGGTATGGTTCCCATGGCAGAGGGGGCAGGGCTTCTGCCTAGTACAAAGTGCATCTGTTAAGTCTCCAGCAGAAATGTGGAGGTAGAGCCACTTTAGCATCCTGAGAGGAAGTTGCACAAGAAGTCAGGTAGGGGGAAGGGAGGGGATGTGCAACAGCAGCCCAGGTAGGAGAGGGTGTGCTTCATGACCTGAGTTCCTCATCTGTCTAGAGCAGGGTAGTAGCATGTCCTCCCTGAGGACTCAGGGAGGTGACAGGATTGCTCTCCAGCAAAAATTTAGGGTGCCAGTGTGGACTGTTGGGGGTCTCCTGCATATTTTTTCATTGTGGCAGAACTTTTCAAGTATTAAATTGGTCTTGACCTGGGTAATGGGCAGTTGATAGAAGGCTTTGTTCCCTTCTTTACTTGACTGTGTGCAGCCCTCATGCCCCACCATATTTCCAGTTCATCCATTCTGCATTCTAGCTCTCCCCTGTGAACACTGAATAGTAGCTGTTCTTCCCTCCTTTTATCCTTTCCTTCCTTTGTGGTCTCTTCTGTGGCCACTCGTCAGTCATCTTGCCATGGACTTTCTTCTACCATTCACAGTGGACAGCTTTTGTGGCATGGAGAAGCTCACTCCACAATTCTGTGTTTACTTTGCATATTCTAGCCATATCACCATGTATCTGCTCCAGACGCCAGCTTTGGAATTCTTCTGTGGGATACACTTATTTAGGAACCATTTTCCTTGGTTTCGTTGATGGTCAGGAAATCCCTCTGAAGATCTGTGTAATCTCTCAACTGGCAGCAACATTCCCATGGCCCCCTCTGTCTTCTGTAACTTCACTCTCCCCCCCCCCCCCAATTATTATCCTTTGTTTCTTTGGTAGAATTTAGTATTTACTGTCTAGTCTCTACTTCCTGTGGTCCATTTTTTAAAAATGCTGCCTGGGAGTGTCACGAGAGACAAGAGAGTGGTGCAAGTACATGCTTCGCCACCTGTGGGAACTAAGTAGCAGATGCAGTCAGTGACAGTAACAGGCTCTGAGGGGGATGGTGTGACTGATTATGGCTCTAGATTGGCAGCTGTCATCAACAACAATTCCCTTTTATCCTTGGGAGATATGTTGCAGGACACCTCCCCAGCGGATTCTGGAAGTAGTGATAGGGTCAGACACTGCATAGCTTGTTTTCTCCTATACATATATACTTGTTGTAATGTTCAATTCATAAATTATGAATAATAAGACATTAGCAATAATAATAATCACCACAAAAACAATTCTAATAATGCATTATGGTAGAACATGGCCACTGTCAAAAAATGCATATTTAAAATTTGTTCTTTTAGTTTTCGACTAAAGAAGTATTTTATGACTTCTCTTTAGAAAGTCTGAATTTTCAGAGTCGTTATTATTATATTTTGGATTTATTAAGTAAAATCATTATATTATTAAGTAAAATAATTTTTACTCCAATATACACACTAAAGTGGCTGATTTGCAAACTGAAACATGGGTTGGAGACCAATTGGGGAGCATGTAGAGTGCATGGATGCCTATAGATTTTGAATACCCTGAGTAGGTGGTAGGGGTTTACATCCCTGGGCGGGGGCATGGAGCAGGATTGCAAGAGCTTTCATCATGTTGTTCACAACGACACATGATTTTAAACTTTTGAATTGTATATTCGAGAATCTGTAATTTGGATCATGCTTAACCATTGGAAACCAGAGAAAGCAAAACAATGGATAAAGGGGGTGAGGCTGCCGGGTACCTGTCAGTGGTTTGTACTTCATGCAGTGACAGTCAGCATACCATGGTCCCTGAGATCTGAGCAGTGCTGGTGTGAAACGTGTTTGCTAGAACCACGGTGACTAAAATTTGTGCATATAGAAACTGTGGGAACTACTCCCTCTGCCTCTCCATTTCTCTAGACACGTGCAATACCTTCTAAAGCTGTCAGCAAGAAGTTTTAGCAACAGTGATTAAAAAACATGGCTTAACATTTTACTGCCTATATGTATCCTGCCACAGGTTGCAAACCTTTAATGTATACAAAAATTTTACTGAAATAATGGTTTACTTATTTTAGTTCATTGTACGGGGACATAATTTTAGGTATACGGGGACATAATTTTAGGTAAAATGAAATACTTAATTGTAGACAATGATGTGACTTTATGCAGTAGCTTGAAAGTGACACAAAAAATGAAATTGATTTTTGTCTTCCAGTTTCATGTATGGAGAATTGACTGACAAGAAGACCATTGAGAAAGTCAGGCAGACCTTTGACAACTACGAGTCAAACTGTTTTGAAGTTCTTCTGTACAAAAAAAACCGTAGGTATTTCTGTTATCAATAAGATGAGCTAGGCCTTTCTGAATGTTATAGTTTAGGAAATGGTAGCTGAGCAACAAGGTACAGAAGATACAATGTGCTGTTACTGCTCTTGGTGTAAGGGGAGAAGTTACTGGTGAAATTAGATAGACAAATTCATAAATATTTCTGCCTATGAAAAGATCCTCTCGAAGAATGGAAACAAATATGGTATATATTATTTTACTTTTACAAATAAATTTTATTTGTTTATTAATTAATTAATTAATTATTTTTTGAGACAGGGTTTCTCTGTGTAGCTTTTGGAGCCTGTCCTGGAACTCACTTTGTGGACCAGGCTGGCCTTGAACTCACAGAGATTCACCTGCCTCTGCCTCCCAAGTGCTGGGTTTAAAGGCATGCGCCATCACTGCCCGGCAATTTACTTTATTTTTATTAAATTAAAATATATTATCTGTATGAGTGTTTTGCTTATATGTATGTATGTGTACAATGTATGTGCTTGGTGTTAGCCAAGGTCAGAAGAAGGTGCCGGATCTCCAAGGACTGATGTTGCAGAGGCAGAAGGTTGTGAGTTGCTGTGTGCATCCTGAGAACTGAAGGCAGATCCTCTGTAAGAGCAACAGGAGCTCTTAATCACTGAGCCACCTCTCCAGCCCCACATTTTTATTTTCAACATCATGGTTGTCCATGTTGATTGGATACAAAGTGACATTATGATTTAGAAATATAATATGAATACTTATATCCAACAAACAGCATTCAACATTCCAAATATTTACTTTTTGTGGTAGGGATACTGGAAATCACTCTCTTGGCAACTTTGGTGTCTGCAGTACACTGTTATTATTAACCATATTCACCATGCTGTGCAATCTATCTCACAACTAGACAGAGGCACTTTTCTCGTGTGTCACACAGTCTTTGTATCGCTAGATCATCTTGTCTTCATTCCTGTCCCAACACTGCAGCTGAGAACCTCTGCTATCTAATCTGTGTTTAATTAACTTAAGTTCCACTTCAAATGAGTATATGTTTTCTATTGGTCTTCCATGTCTGGCTTATTTTACTTAGTCCTTATGATCTTTTATTCCTTCTGCAATGTTGCAAATACTATAAACTGTTTGTCTGTCTGTCTGTCTGTCTCTCTCTCGTGTGTATTGCATATGCATGTGTGTACATGTGTACATTTAAAATGGAGGCCAGAGGAGAACATTAGGTATCTTCTTCTATGATCTTCTGCTCTATCCCCTTGAGACAAGGCCTCTCACTTCTTGTTTTTCAGATAGACTAACCAGTCTGCAAGCCCTATCTATCTGTTGGTCTCTGACCCCTTCCTTCTCCCCTGTTTCTACCAGTGCTAGGGTTAGAAGCACACACAGTCTTGCTTGGCTTTTTATGTGGGTTCAGAGATCCAAACTCAGGCCCTTATGCTTACTCAGCAAGCATTCCTATCCACTGAGTCATCTCCCCAGTCCAAGAAACTCTTTCAAATGCACAGCAGTATTCCACTTTGTATACACATTTCATTTTTTTTAATCAGCTCATCTGTTAATGGACATTTAGGTCAATTATAAAATTGGCCATTGTGAATGGCAGGCCAGTGAACATGAGAGTGCAGATATCCCTTTGTCTCGCAGATTTCAAATCTTTTGGGTAAATATCCAGCAGTGGGACTGCTATAACATATGGTGAGTCTGTATTAAAATTTTTAAATTAATTTCCTAGTGGGTTTTCTATAGGGTTTGTACTAATGTGTGTCCACAACTACGGTATTACAGGATTCGTGTTACTATACAAATGTTACTCTACAAATGTCACTGAGGTGGATATGTGGTTATTTGATGTCAGTCTTTACAAATATAACCTTTAGCTGGAGGCTGACTGTTGCCCGTGGAAGAGTGATGGGCATAAGCATCACCCTCTGAATGGGCCATTCACATCTGGTAAAGTCTGCTGATTGTTGTGACTATTCTCTAGGATTAGAACTGGACATAGTCAATTGCCAAACATGTCATCACATAGAACCTCACGGACGGCACCTGTTTGGGAGGTTAAAACAACAATTAACCAACCAACCAACCGCTACTACCACCACGCCTCAGTGCATGTCTCAAACCATCAAGCCTTATTTAACATGGTTTCATTGCATGGTCATGTGAACTACATTTCTTTTCGCTGCTTTCTCAAATTCTTTTTCTTCTTGATATGAAGAGTCCCTTCATCATCATTAACCAAGAAGCCATCTCCAAATTACATCTGCATGCAAAGGAAAAACCAGTTTCTCCGATGGAGTCTCACAGGGTGTATTAACCACACTTAAGGGCAAGGCCCATGCTTAGTAGTAGATGGCCAACACAAAACGAAATCAGTGGTATTTTTTTTGTAGACTTTTTGCCTCATATGACTTTGTTTGGGCATTTTTACTGGCCTTTTGCTTGTGTATTATGATTTCTGACTTTGCGTTTTTTATGGGTTTATTTGTGTGTATGTATTTGTGTGTTTCTTGTGGTTTTATTTTTCTTTTTTAAAAAACTCTGGGCTTGGGTGTTTTTTTATTTGTTTGTTTATTTGCCTATTTGTTTTCTGGAGAGAGAGAGAGAGAGAGAGAGAGAGAGAGAGAGAGAGAGAGAGAGAGAGAATGAAAATGAAGAAGTGGAGTTGGGTGGGTATGGAGAGGAAGAGAATCTGGGAGGAGTTGAGAAAGGAGAAACTGAGATCAGAATATATTGTAAGATAAAATTTGTTTTCAATAAGATGTATATTGAAAATGTGTGTGTGTGTGTGTGTGTGTGTGTGTGTGTGTGTGTGTGTGTGTGTGTGTGTGGTGCTTTTATGGTAAATGATGAAAAAATCCATCCTCATCTTCAGTGGTTACTATAGTCTCCTTAAGTGGGAGAGGCACCCAAACCTCACCAGAACACATTTTTTTTCTAGGTTCAGTGTATGTTTGATCTTTTGGTGCACAATTTTTCCTTCCATTTCTTTCAATCTGTTATTCTTTATGGAATATGTGGAATTAAAATTAGATTTTCTTTTTTAGTACTAGACCCACAAAAGGATAACAACAGTCACAGATGTTGCCTCAGAGCAGTGCATTGGGTGACAGGAACATTATCTTTCATGGTTTTACCTATCAAAACTTTAGCCGGGCGGTGGTGGCGCACGCCTTTAATCCCAGCACTCGGGAGGCAGAGCCAGGCGGATCTCTGTGAGTTCGAGGCCAGCCTGGACTACCAAGTGAGTTCCAGGAAAGGCGCAAAGCTACACAGAGAAACCCTGTCTCGAAAAACCAAAAAAAAAAAAAAAAAAAAAAAACCAAAAAAAAAAAAACTTTAATCCTTTCATCTTGCAGTTGAGAATCAAGGCTGAAGAGATGTTTCTGTTTGGGGTCACACTCAGTGGCCAGCTTGTCACACAGAAAACAATTGGTTCTGAATGATGTGCTCGCCCTGCTGTAGTAGATACTTTCTGTGTCTCCTCCCCTCAGGCTCCAAGGTTTAGTCATGATTCATAGGATGCCCAAAATGTCCAAGCCCCTTCATTTCCATATAGATCTGTTAGTCCTGGGATGACTTGGCCCAAGTTTAGCAAATAACTGAAGAACACTTATCACTAAGACTATTTCCCTTGGCACGTAAGCCGAATTAACAAATAAATATCTGCTGAATTTTCAGACATCATAGCCAAGTCCACAGTTTGAGTTTGTCAGTCGTACCTTAAGGGGATTCTGTTTTGTTTATTTACTTTAAAACATATTGGTAATAACTTGAAATTTGCATTTTTATAATTCTCCTTCCGGGATAGTTTAGATAGTTTACATTGTGCTCATGGCTTGAAATTATTATATGACTTTTGTTCAAGTCTGGCTGGCTCTCTAAAGGGAACAGTTTATTGATGTATAAGGGTCTGCATAAAGCTGTTAAGAGGGGCTCCACAGCCTTGTAGATTACAGCTCCCTGTGCTCTCTCCATCCATCTTTATTTTTTACTTTCCTTTAATAGAAAGAATAGGCATTATATAGGCATTAGAGTAGCATACAAGTATTTTAGCCAACTTTAAAGGAATTTTGTAACCGGTCGTCTGAAAACAGCTTTTGCATATCAAACTGGAAAGAGTACATTTTGTGACTTTGAAAAATGTAAGATAGGGAAGTTGACATATCTGTAGAAGACCGTTTGGGGATGCCTGAATTCCAAGACCCTCAAGACTTCCATCATGTGATTAGGTTAGGTCAAACACCGTTTTGCCAATGGGGCAGTTGAGGTTTCTGATTTTTTTGGTTGGGGGTTGACACTTCAGTTTGTACCCCTTTTGTAAATTTCTTCCTATCTACTGTCCTTATTAAAGGAGGATTTGCTACTCTAGGGAAAGTTTAGAATCTCTGGAGCATGGAGAGATCCTAGAGGCATGTTTCTAGTGACCAGTGGCCAGGCCTTGCTCTGAATGCACCTCTGTCCATCCTTCTCAGACTCCCTGTCCATCTGATCCTTAACACCAGGATGTAAAGAATATTTCACCAGCTACTTGAAAATATTTGCCTGTACTGGGGGAGTCTGAGCCTATGAGCTGGATAATTCTACCTTGATATTGGGAAGTAGCTTTTCAGACTGTCCTGTCTCTGCCAGAATTTGGAAAGTGCCTGTTTCCATGGATGTGGCACCAGCTTTGTCCAGATTTCTAGCAGGCCCTGGAAAAAAACAAAAGGATTTTCAAGCCCCCTTTCTCTTTGTTTATGACCCCTCTGCCTCTAGCTCACCGTGTGGGAAGAGCCTCAGGCCATGAACACAGCAGTATCTGGCCATGGTTATTTGTAAAACTGCATGTCATTCACAGTTCTGATACACAGTGTAAAACAAGGAGCAGGAAACAGGGAGCAAGCCTGGCTGGGAGGCAATGTGAATGTTTTTCCATGGCCCTTTCTCATTCCGCAATCGTCTTGGAAAGGGCTGTGTCCCTCTGTGGGCCTGCCACGGCCACAAGAGACTCAGTGGCCAGAGCTGAACATCCCTTTCTAAATCTCTCTGCAGTGCTCTGGTTTCTTGAGCCTGCAAAGAACTCATGTCTAAATGACAAGTTAGCCCTTGCGTGACTTAGAGAGATTCCCCAAGTTTAGCCAATAATTTAAGAGCACCGTTATTACACTGATGTTTAAACAGAAATGATAGTGGCTTTAGGTGATACAGCTTTGGCTCCAGGGATGAAGGAGCTTGTTACTACTTGGTTTTCACTTGGGACCACTAAGATGCTGTTAGCTCTCACCTCCAGCATCTGCACATCCACTCTCCAAATCCTTAACCTGACAAAATCCCCTCTGTTCCTAAGAGGGAATATTTTGGGGGGCTTTATTGCATCTTTGTCTGGTAAAAATATGATGGAAAATGTGTTTTTAAAAATGATTTTTTTTATTGATGTGTTGCCACTACATGGATAATTATTCTCTTGAGGGTATTTCTCATGCCTTCATTTATTCATTCTTTGCAATATGTCAGTCCCTGGTCTGTCCAGATCCTGAGCATTAAATCCTGAAACCCTCATCCCTCTGGAGAGTGCAGTGGCTCTTCTTTGAAGAAGGATGTGGCAGGGCTGAGCCTCACGGGGGCCAGAGTCAGTGGCTCTGGCAGACACGCGAGATTCTCAAGCTGTGGACACCTGTGCTGCTTTTCTTTCCCTTTTAAGATTGCCCTGAAGGTTTCAGGGAGCACTCTGTATGCAACAGGTATCAAGTCTTGTTGATGTCTTCTGTGATTGGGGACACAGTCAAAGCCATTGAGGTGTCACAGAAGTCCATCTGACTGAAGAGAGAGCCTTGGGATAGAAGCAGCATTTCAGGGGCTTGTCTAGGAGCCGGGTTTGTCAGGGCAGCAGGTATTGCTGTTAATTGGAAACACTTGTCTAAGTGACAAGACCAGAGAAGCCTGTAGGAGTGATCACACTCAGTGAGTCTGTCAGAATGAAGTCTGGGAGAGGAACAGAGGTCTCAGGACCCAGACCTAAAGGTGACGCTGGTTTTACTTCAGCAGCAAGAATGCCTTTGTGTACACAAGTTGGGAAGCGAACCAGTACTTTCCTTTAGAACGTTCATATTTTGGGCTAAAAATACACTCGTTAAATTTGAACAACTGGTAGCTGATACAGAGTCAAATGGTTTTTTGTTTCTTTTGTTATTTCATTTTATGTTGAGAGTTAAACCCAAGGCCTTGTGCATGCAAGACAAGTATTCCATCACTGAACTTTATTCCCAGCCCTTGTAAGTTTTTTAATTTTAATTATTCTTTTGAGACAGCATCTTTTTTTTTTAATTTATTTTGCAATACAATTCAGTTCTACATATCAGCCACAGATTCCCTTGTTCTCCCCACTCCCGTCCCCCTCACCTTCCCCCCAACCCCCCCCCCCCCCATTCCCATCTCCTCCAGGGCAAAGCCTTCCCCACAGACTGAGGTCAACCTGGTAGACTCAGTTCAGGTAGGTCTAGTGCCCTCCTCCCAGGCCGAGCCAAACGATCCTGCATAGGCCCCAGGTTTCAAACAGCCAACTCATGCAATGAGCACAGGACCCGGTCCCACTGCCTGGATGCCTCCCAAACAGATCAAGCCAATCAACTGTTGAGACAGCATCTTACTAAGCTGCCCAACATGGCCTTGAGCTCACTCTGTCGTCTACGCTAACCCTGAATTTGTGATCCCCCTGCCTCAGCCTCCTGAGTAGCTGGGATTATAGGCCTGTGCCTGTAACTCTGGTTAAAGTATTTTTTTTTTAAATTCTGTTTATTCATTCAAGTAATGGAACTATTGTTTTGATGCAGAGGCAGCAGAAGCAAGGGGTGGGGTCAGGGGAGCTAAGCCTTGCTTCCTTTTTCTCCCTCTTTCTCCACTACAGGAACTCCGGTCTGGTTCTACATGCAAATCGCACCGATAAGAAATGAGCATGAGAAAGTGGTCTTGTTCCTGTGTACGTTCAAGGATATCACACTGTTCAAACAGCCAATAGAGGATGACTCAACGAAAGGTAATTTCCCAAAGGGAGTGTCTCTACCTAAGAAGCTGGTGGCCTTTTATCTGCCACGTCTTCTTATGGCCATTTGTCTGTTCTACAGTCCTCCTAGTGAGAAGTTGGAAGGAATTCCACAGAGTATGGTTAATTTGGGAGCAGTGTAGTTGGCATTTCAACACCCTGTACCCAGTGAGCTTTAGCATGGAGGATTATACATAGCCAGGACTGCCTTCACTGAGCTCCTACCAGAGAGCTGTTCATAATTTGATGGAGTTTTGGTCAACTGATTGAGTTTTACCGGCTGATTACTTTCAGCTTCTATTTATTCAGTTGTGTATTCTTTTGAGTGGAAGTTGTATAATTTTGTCATAAAGAGAATGGCTGGCACAGTGCAAGCCTCCCAAGCGGAGCATTATTGACTGCAGCATCCAGAGATGTGGCTACGGAAACCTAGAGTGCTCTTACCTCTTTCCAATGTAATTTATTCCCAATTTATTTTCTCCATTTGGGTTTAAATTAGAAGCGGGTGTCATATAAATGAAGACTTTAGAATTCATTTAGAAACAGGTTTTATAAAATGTTATTTTTTTAAGAACCTCTTAGGAGACCAAAAGGAAATGCCTGCCTTTATGCATTTGGCAAACATTCCCTTCTCTTCTCTTCCTTCTTAAAAAAAACCCAAAAAACAGTACAGAGATTTAAGCTTTCCAATTGAAACTATAATTACAGAAAATGGCATTATTTTCTTCTTTGCAGGTGAGTCTAAATACATGTCTCTATTCACTTGCTTTGTTAGTATCAAATTAAAAAGAGAAACTTTACAATGTGCCAACTATTGAAAATTGGACCAAACAAATTAATTTACGTGTGTCTCTGAAATTTGAGACTCGATGAAATCACTTTCTGGAAGATTAAGTAAAATACCTACTTTAGGGCTCAGATCTCCCACCCCCTCTATCCATCTTATTGTGTATCTCAGGCTGACCTGCAGCTCAGCATTTCTCCTGCCTCAGTCTTTCAAATGCTGGAATTACAGGCACACACCATCACACCCAGCTAATGCTACTTTTAAAGCATACTAAAACATATTTCTAATCATCTTGGCACTGAATGTTGACTTATTTCTTTGACGCTTTACAATGTTTCAGACAAACGCTAGAAAAGGTACCTTTTTCTTAGTTGTACATGGAACACTTACCAGGTACACTATATTCTGAGTCACAAAAATTTTGACCAATTTAAACCTTTGAGAAATGAGTCTCAGACCATAATGGAATTAAATTAAAAATCAATAACTGAAAGATGTATGGAAAAATCCAACAATTTGGGAATTACACAACACATTTCTAAATAATCCATCAGCCAAAAAAATCTTGTTGCAAATATTTTCAACAAAATGAAAATTTAGCTTTTTCAAGTTTTTGGAAGAGAGTAAAGGTGATATGTAATGTAATATATAATATTAGATACACATATTATAAAAGAAAATGACTACATTATGTAATATTAGATGCATATGTTACAAAAGAAAATGACTGAAAACCCCCCAGTAACTTAGTTTCCATCTTAGGAAGCTACACAAAGAAGAGAATTTTAAACTAAAGCAAGTGAAAGACAAGACATCATAAACCATATGGAGAAATCACTGTAAAACAGTACAAACCCACCAAAACTCAACACTAATTATAATAATGAAAATACAATTATAGTCAATAAATCTCTACTTCTGATAACCAAGAAAAAAGGGGAAGACACAGATTACCAAGTTTGAAAATGAAGGTCTACCTCCACTCATCCTGTGCTATTGAAGCCTAGACAATGATCACCCTGTGGTCACCATTGATGACTTATAGGATAGAGACCAATCTCTCCAAATTCACTTGGGGAGGGGAGAAACAGAAAACCTTAACTGCATCACCATTAAATCCTTAAGCAGAAATGAGTAATTGACCAAAACCAAGGAAATAGAAAGTGTGAATAGTTTTATCAGTAGACCCTAATAAACGCTGAAGGGAGATATTTCTTTTTTCTTCTTCAGGATTTCACACACGTATACAGTGAAATATGATCATTGCTGCCCGTAGTCCCCTCTTTAAGTTCCCCTCCCCTTCCTAAAAATGTCCCCCTCCATCCTCAGCCCTTAATGGGCCATCTTTATCAACCTCCCAAACCATCAAGGCTCAAGGAACATTATGGAAGAGGAGGCAAAAAGAACGTAAGAGCTGGAGGGTGGGGAGGAGGCCTGGGAAGTGCTGTCTTCTGGACGTGGCATAGCTGGTGTCCACATGAACTCACAGCGCTTGTGATTGCCTGCACAAGACTTGCGTGTTCAAGTCCCTTCCAGAATGCAGAAACAGAGGGAAGTCTCCCAACTCATGTGATGAGACCAGTACCACTCTGATACAAAACCCTGCAAAGATATTACAGAAAAGGAAAATAATAGATGAGTTTTTACTCTCTACATAAAATATTCCATAAAACTGAATTCATAAAATATAAGAAGGGTTACACATGACAACCAAATGGATACAGTCTTCAGAAAACAATTCCCCAATCCACCCTATCAGTGAGGTGGTAAAGAAATAGCCCACGATCCTATCAGTCGGCATAGAGAAAGCATTTGAAAAAAATTCAACACTCATTCATGATTCAAAATCCCCAGAAATGTAGGCATAGGGGGGATGATCTTCCCTTTTTTTCATAAGAAACATCTGTAAAAATCTTAATATTAACAGTGAACTGTATCTTTACGTGAGGTATTTAAAAAATATATAAAATAATTGATATGTGACTGGTGACCTAAAACACTCTCCAAACGAATTTTGGTGTCTTCACCACGAATATCAGTCAACTTGAGTGAAGAGTTTTGGTATCATATTTTTACCCCCAGATATACATGTATTTATATTAGAGGAATTTTTTTTCTGATTTACTTTTTGTAATTTTATGAGACACTTGAAACCGGCCCAGGAAAGGGCAGTGTTTTCCCACCATTTTGACTTGCTGAACATTAATGGTAGTTAGTAACTTTGTGTTTATGGAAACTGGAAGTTGACAGCATTTTGCTATGAATTGGGGCGGGGGGCATGTGCTGATACTTGAAGAGCTGACTTTTGTCTCTGAACTTAATGCTCCTCCACTCTTCTGTTCTCACCTCTGTCACCCTGCATCCCCGTGTAAGTACCACAGAGTGCTTGTAAGGCACGGTCTCTTTTGAGTTGAACTGTCTGCTTTTTATAAATTATTTTGAATAACACCAGACAAGTCAGGCCACTTGACCGTTGAACAGTGAGTTCAATAAGTATGCAAATCAAAATCCTGTGAACAGCATTGGTATAAAATATCTCTTTCTAGTGCCAGGAATTCTAGAAGATGGGCTAATTTGAAAATAATTTTTGTTCTGAAACTCTTGTATGCTTTCCCTATACATAACAGATTACTGAAAAAGCATTGTATAATGCAGCAGTTATGAATGCTGCATATGAACTACTTTCTATTATTCATGTGAACTGTACATTGAACATGAAAAATTCAAAAGACATGAAATATTTATACCATTAAGTCATCATCCTACTGTATCTTTGAAGCTAGTGATATAGGAACAGGGGAGTGTTTTTGGAGGCTTGGTAAAATAGTGTGTTTTCCTATTTTTAAAGACAAATAAGAAGAAATGATTCTTTTGGATAAATGGCACATCTAATCTCATTATAATACCACGATATCAAATTGAAGAAGAAGATTGTGATGTCGCCCTTGATCAAGCCTTTGGCCTTCGAGTTACTTAATATAAACTTTTTCATGATTTCTATAAGAATATCCTATTCTACTAACCTTACTTTTATCTGTTTTTTTTTCCCCCCAACAAATGTTGAACTGAGAGGATTCCTGGGAATACAGGAGCGGCCCTTTCTCTAGTGTTCCAGGGGAAGACTAACACGTTAATAGTAGAAGCTTTGCTCTAAGTGTTCGTGGTGAGCAGCTGAGTGTGAGGAAGGTAAATGTGAGAGGATTTAAGAGAGTGAGGCAGTGATTAGACCAGGGAGACACAGGACCACTGGGCAGCATGGAGGTCTGCTGAGGCTCTTGGTCCAGAGTTTCACTAGCATCCATGACCATCATTCTGTTCTCCACTTTTGTCCAGTCAGAGGAATGGAGATGAGCAGGGGGTAAAACGTTGGATTTATCTGAAGTTCAGTGTTGATTAGGTGCAAGAGAAAGAGAATCTAAGAAAGGATTATTGATTAGACAAAGGCTTTTGTCCTTCAAAGATTTGCAAATGTGTTGGTTTGCATTCATACCAATCTCCTGTTTCTATTGGTGTTTCTCCCCCCAAAACCCAGACATATAGTCGAAAGACTTGAAGGCACAGACTCGGAACTTCGCTTCTGAATCATCTCAGACAGTGGCCGTGACAGTTATGGCTGCAGTGATTGAGTGTAACTCTGCTTGTAGCAAATCCTACGTTCACCAAAATTCCATCCTGAATTATTTTGTTTTTGTTCTTAAACTGTGTGGTAATGCCTGACATCAGCAATGCTTTTGAATTATGCCACAAGAGATGACAGCTAAAATTACTGACAGGAAGGTTATCAACTCTGATGGACAGTCAATACCTACCAGGCACTCTACATTCATTATTGCTCATTTCACCAAATTTGAAATTAATGTTATTATCTCCACTTTACTGCCGGAGAGCCTAACACTCAGGCTGACTTCAAGCCTCAAGTTCTCCATACTGCCCATTGCTGTCTTGTCTTCTGCAGTGGGAATTCACTGGCAGGCACAGCCACCTTAATTCCCCGTTCCTAAGCATAGGCCTCGAGACGATGCTATCTTTCTTGACAGAATTGTGCTCTCGGAACCAACTAAACCTCCTGATGCTAATTCCACAGGGTGATGTAGTCTTGTTATCTTTTGTACCTGGTATTGTGATGCTGAAAGTGTTGTTCAGATAATCTGTCAATAGTTTCTGACACTTTATCTATCATAACATGGAAAATGCAGCCCAGAGGTCT